CCTGGCAAACTATTATTAAACCAACTTTTTAAAACTACAGTTGAACCGAGATTATTTTTTTTCTTCTTTAAACTTAAGAGGAAAAACTGGTTTCTCTATTGTAAAGTGTAAAATTAGTCATAAATACGGCTAAATGGGAGAATAGTGTATGCTTTGGGATATTTTAATAACTATACTGTATATTTTATAATCTTAATAGAATTATATGTTTTAATCACGTGCTCCTGAAAGCGAAAAAGCCAAAGTATATAATGGTAGACAGAATAAACTGTTTTTATGAGTTATTATTGTTAATAATTATATTTTTGTGTCCTTTATGTCGCTTACTTATTGTGTTATTGCTGCTGGATCAACATGAATTCCCTCTTTTGGGTTTAATAAAGTAAATAGAATTGAATTGTGTGTGGAGATTGACTACAGTATTAATATGGAAAATAACTAATTTTGCTTTAACATTGAATATGGAACAAGCAACTCTTATTACATTATATATAACTTAATAGTGGACACATACAAAATCAAATTCTAAATAAAAAAACACATCAATGGCATTCATTTATGAAAAAAGATTTTAAAACATTTTTCTATTGGCAGCCCTCTGAATTAAATATCTAAATGAAATGTTCTTGTCCAGAAAGCTCCTGTTTCTTTCTTTGGGTCATTTTTGGGGGGCAGCACAGTGACAGCTGTAGTGTTTCCTACTGTCACAGAGGAGTTTCTGGGTCCTGAACAGCAGCAGGGCATTATGGGAGTTGTAGTACGAGCCGTTAATGGTCTGTACAGTATAATATCGGGGGCCAGCTCTTGGATTCATTTGGTATTGTCTCACCGGCCAAATATAATTACAATGCGGGCCAACTGACTCTCTCACGCCTCCAATTGATTAGAAGCAAATATTACACATTTTCGGTATTTTTAGATTGTTTTTTAGGCAAAACTCGACCGGACTCGGACTACAGCATTCGGGTAAATCCGTTTCCGGTCGGCTATCTCCGCTGTATTTCTTTCCGTAGACTTAATGTAAAAATAAGAAATAACAACAAGCGGCCTTACTCCCCTAAAATTAGCCCAACTGACTCCTTTACGCCACCAATTGATCTGAAGCTAATATTACCCATTTTCAGTATTTTTATATTGTTTTATATTGTTTTAAGACAAAGCTCGACTACAGCATTCGGGTAAATCCGTTTCCGGTCGGCTATCTCCGCTGTACCGCTGTATTTCTTTCCGTAGACTTAACGTAAAAAAGAACCACGACCGGCCTTCCGCTCCCAAATTTTAGCCCAATTGACTCCTTTACGGCTCCAATTGATCTGAAGCAAATATTTCCCATTTTTTCGGCATTTCTACATTGTTTTAGACTGTTTTTTTAGCCGAAGCTCGACCGGACTCGGAACCCGTTCGGCCATATTCGGCTGCACTCGTCCCGGCGGGAGAATGGAGGAGGCCTCCTCCGCCGTGGAGGCTTTGGGGCCGGATGATCCGCCCCCCGGGGGCCCGGACGCGGACGGAGCGGGCCCGGACACGGAGGCGGAGGCGGAGGGAGCGGGCTCGGACGCGGAGGCGGAGGCAGGAGTCCCCACGATGTCTGTGATGGCGGAACCGGGAGACGTCGACGTGAGAGCCGAAGCGATGCCGAACCCGGACGAGGCCGAGGCTGCGTTCGCAGGTAATCGGCCAGAGCTCGAGAGCGCCGCGCGCGAGGGCGGTTAAAGCCGAGCTCGCGAGTACGGTTAGGACGGTTGGCGTTCGAAAAACGTAACCGTTTGTCCACTTTAACCACAACTCAACCGGGAACAAGTGTCGCTTTAAGCTATAATATATGAAGATTTTTAACTATAGCCCGATAATAATTTGGTGGAGTATTTTATTTGAATATTTTGCGGGATTATGTTGTGAATATTACACATACAGTTAAGCTCATGTGTTCGGATTTGGTCGTGAAACCATTCATAAAAAGCACCCAAAACTAATATTTTATTTAGATTTTACTTTCATAGTGGACAATGAAGCCACCAATAGGTAATCTACCCTAAATATATATATATATTTTATCTTTGTGATCTGAAATATAGACACACGAATGTATGACTGTTGTTTTTGTTTTGTTCTGCGTTAAACAATTGGAGCTCATGTGTTCAAATTTGGTCGTGAAAACATTCATAAAAAGCACCAAAAACGTATATTTCATCACAGATTTTATTTGCATAGTGGACAATAAAGTCAAACAATTGTCACTTTAAGCTACAGTATATGAAGATTTTTAACTATAGCCCGATTATAGTTTGGTGGAGTATTTTATTTGAATGTTTTGGGGGATTATGATGTGAATATTACACGTACAGTTAAGCTCATGTGTTCAGATTTGGTCGTGAAAACATTAATAAAAAGCACACAAAACTAATATTTTATCACAGATTTTACTCACATATAGGACAATGAAGCCACCAATAGGTAATCTACCCTAAAGTGTTTAAATAAATACAATTTAAATAAAAGTACCATATCGTAACTGTCACAGTAAAAGTACTGCTATTTCAAATACTTGTGAATCATGTTTTTTAACAATAACAACCCATCATTCATGAATTGCTCATCAGAATTATCACTATTTATTATCCCATTTCACTATTTATCTTTTTTTTAACCAACTATTTATTGTTCCTTTTCAATATGAATTTTTCAACTGGGTTACATTTGTCTTAAATTTGTTCAGTAACAGACATCCAGTGATGGAGTCATAGGTGTGAAAGAACCATTGATGTGCAACCTACTGTTGAACCAAAATTTGTGAGCATTAGCTATTAAAAAACTGTTGACTTGAAGAAAGAATAGTGACCTGTGTCAGCTTATGTTGGTGCTAGTAGTCGTTATGGCCCAATCTTCTCCAGCGTAGAGCATCATTTTATTACAAAACCCATATCCAGAAAAGGTGAAAAGCTTTCTAAAAGTTTTCTAAATAGCGACAAAACACGATCGATTTGTTTGACCATCACCTCTTTAAAGAGCATCTCTTATCCGAACTCTTCCCTCTGTCCCCTCTACTCAATTTAGAGTCTCCACTGAACCTAAATGCATGTTTTTCAGTGGTAGGAGGATGCCGGGGAACCCACAGAGATCCCACATCACATTTTCTAGTATAATACAAGTTAGGCAGTAATGACTTGCTTTAACAATGTTTTGTTTATTGCTTAAACTTCATGTCAAATGAGTCACATGACCTGCTATATTATTATCCCACTAGCTTTAGCCTTTCATACTCAATCCTGATGCCCTTCTTAGATTACCTGCAGATTTTGGGCCCCTTAGACCAACTCTGTGTTCACGTTTTTTTAAAATACAAGCCAAACAAGCCAAATTATATAATGGTATATAATGGTAGACAGCATAAACTGTTTTTATGAGTTATTATTTTCATTGTTGTTAATATTTTTTGTTTTTTTTGTTTTATGGGACATTTATTTATTGTGTTATTGCTGCTGCATCAACATGAATTCTCCCTTGTGGGTTTAATAAAGTAAATAGAATTTAATTGTGTGTGGAGATTGACTCCACGTTTTTTAAAATACAACAAAGTTAGTCAGCCATGACGCTGGAAAACCACCATTTATAGTACCCAAATGTCTGTTTTT